CGGAGCAAACACGAAATAATCAATTCTTCGGCACAGCGCAACCATACGATTGTCCGAAAAAAAGGCTCTTTGAAAATTTTTGTAATATTTTCAAGAATTGTTTTATCACAGTTACAATGAACTACTAATCACTTAAACCAATCTCCTCAATTGAAAAGGTACTGTCCATCAACTGTCGCTTTTGTCGGAAGCGCAAAAAACGAAAGAAAAAGCGATTTTCCTGTTTTGAATTCCCAACAAGTGACAGCTGATCGCCAGTACAATTATCAACGGAAGAGACTGCCATAAGTAATTAGTAATTCATCGTAAAAGTTTGATTAAAAAATTCTTAACAATGTTAAAAAAAATTTCAAAGGGTGTTTTTTCGTACAATCGTCTTGTTGAAGTGTGCCAACGGATTTATTATTTCGTCTTTCCTACTCCATAGTGGCACCTGGCAGGCCGCCATTTGCCCCGGTAGTTATACATTATTCCTATCTGGGCTATTGAAATCATTCCCTAATATTAGATAAAAACGCTCTTTCAAAATGTTCCGAACTTTTCAACTTTTTTTTAATCTAAATTGAGAATTTTCGGGTGTCCCTGAGTGACGGGTCATCGAGTTGAAATTTCGAGATAGAAATCATACAAAAAAATCTATTTAAATAACGTTCGGCAGATAAGGGAGCCGGAACTTAAATGATTAATTTTTCATTTATAGACATTATCGATATTGCTCATTCATTAATAATTAATTGTCGGAAGTTAAAGATTTCAAACGCTTCGAAATCGCTAATGACGTCATAAGGGTGGTCGAACGCTGGACCACTCCCAAAATGGCTCGAGCGAACCTAAACCAATATTCACGTGCGCTTGATCCAATGAATGACGGCAACTCCGCTGTCTGGGTTGAGGTCATAGTCCCCAAATGGCAAGCTTCAGAGTACTACAAACTTACGAATAAAAAACTTCCTATCATCTGGATTTCTTATTTTCAGATTTAACAATGAAATTAAAATGTATTCTGATCAGGCGATATATTATTTTCGTACAATTTTTTACAGCAGAATTTCTTTAACAAACATTAGCAATATGTCACGAAATAATCGACTACATCGATATAATTATAATGGTGCGATTTATGTGTACTTTCTTTTTATAACTGCGCCGATATAGCCATATCAATTACTAATACGGCATATTTAGGAATTGTGATAATAAAACAAAAAACTATTATATTGACTCTTCAAGCCAGTGATATACCGCAGCCACGAATAAATATCATGCTGAACATTTGAATAGAAAATAGTTAGGCAGCGGAATTAATTAATGCCTCCAATCAAGAATTACTTCAATGTACTCTTGATGAACTAATATCTTCTTACTTGTATTTACGGTAAACAATTGATAACTGTAAGGTCATTAACTGTAGTCTGAGTATACCGGCGGAATTACAACAGTATTTGACGGTTTTATGTGATTAAAAATGATAACGGATATAGATTCTAGCCAAGAAAATAATCCTAAGAATAATATATCTACCAATGAATTTTTTTGACGAAAATTTCTTTAGTCTTCAGCCCTTGGATTACGTTAACGGGAATTAGAACTTGTAAGAACCTTTGCATTGATCTCCTTGTAGAAATGGAACTAGCAGAACCCATGAAATTGTATTATTGAGCATGACGCTAAAAAATCAATAATGGTAGATATATAACTCCCGTATAGTTATACTATCGTACAACATGCATTCAACTATTCCAACCCAAGAGCCTATTCTTGATTGTAATTTTTAGTTTGAGATTATTCGAATCAGGCGCCTAAAAATACTGCGGATTTTCGATTTAGCCGAATGGTAGAGTGAGCTCTGCTTTATCGACCTCGGAAGATAAGGCAGGGAACAACATATCGATAAAACATACAAAACATATCTGCTTTATAGGGGAACGGAAGGCAAAACGGGGCATGAAACCGTAGAGGCTAATTAATTGTTTTTTAGTAAAAAATTACTTATTTTGGAGGTAAAATACGGCTCCAACATGAGTTGAAATCACGCCAATTAAAAAAAAATAATTGAAGGACAAAATGGGAATGCCCCAATTGAAATACCGCAAAATTGCGTTGATTGACTTTGATTATAAATAGTATGAAATTAATTAAAATGTAATCGACTGTAATGGTTAGGTGGGTGAGGTGTTGCTCCGGCGGACATCCAAGCTAAGCAGCGTTGAGTTGGGTTAGTACTTGGATGGGTGACCGCTTAGGAACATCTCGCTCGCACCAAAATTACGGGCGGTAGGTACGGTGTAGCGGCCTAGTATCTCCATCTAGTCAGTGTGACAGATGGATATATTAGGGCACTGCACAATCGGCCGGCTGTGCGACTGGGGTTTTACATGGTTTCCCGTGCAGTCCAAGCTCGAATGGGGCACAGTTAAGAGTAAGTAAGTAATGGATTCCAATTTTTTTTTTATCCACAGAAGTAACTTGATAGTATCAAGTATATTCACAGATAACTAATATTGATGAATCATGGGTATAGAAATCTACATAGATTTGAAACGGAAATTCTCTAATGGCCCTGGCGGATGAGTCCGAGACCTATCCGAGAGTAGCTCCGACACTCGGAATGGACACTCATTCGACTCTCGGATTTTCGGAGGTTAGGGCGCCAAACTCCAGTAAAGACTCTCGTCCGAGAGTACATCCGAGAGTTGTTTATGCCTTCACAAATCAATTTGTTTATTAATTGAGGGTGCATTAGATAAGTTGAAAATCCTTTGTGGACCCAATGTTACCTACCTGAAAGGGTAATTGAGGGTTCCTTAAACATTGCTGAAAGCAGTCTCGGATCAAGTCTCGGACGAGAGTAGCGATACGAGAGTGGTTTATTAATTGACGAATGAGTTTGTTAATTATTTTTTATTGATTGGGGGTTCTTCAGGTACTAAGATAATGATTTTTCAATCGGCTCACGGCAGAGGGAGGAATGGGGGGTCCCTTGAACATTGCGGAAACCAGTCTCGGATCGAGTCTCGGACAAGAGTAGCGATACGAGAGTGGTTTAGTAATTAACAAATGAGTTTGTTAATTATTTTTTATTAATTGGATGCACATTGAGTTTCAAGAGAATGATTTTTCAATCGGCTATCGATAGAGGGAGGAATGGGGGGTCCCTTGAACATTGTGGAAACCAGTCTCGCATCGAGTCTCGGACGAGAGTAGCGATCCGAGAGTGGTTTATTAATTGACGAATGAGTTTGTTAATTATTTTTTATTGATTGGGGGTTCTTCAGGTACTAAGATAATGATTTTTCAATCGGCTCACGGCAGAGGGAGGAATGGGGGGTCCCTTGAACATTGCGGAAACCAGTCTCGGATCGAGTCTCGGACGAGAGTAGCGATACGAGAGTGGTTTAGTAATTAACAAATGAGTTTGTTAATTATTTTTGATTAATTGGAGGTTCCTTAGGTAGTAAGATAATGATTTTTCAATCGGCTCACGACAGAGGGAGGAATGGGGGGTCCCTTGAACATTGTGGAAACCAGTCTCGGATCGAGTCTCGGACGAGAGTAGCGATACGAGAGTGGTTTAGTAATTAACAAATGAGTTTGTTAATTATTTTTTATTAATTGAATGCACTTTGAGTTGCAAGAGAAGGATTTTTCAATCGGCTCACGACAGAGGGAGGAATGGGGGGGCCCTTGAACATTGTGGAAACCAGTCTCGGATCGAGTCTCGGACGAGAGTAGCGATCCGAGAGTGGTTTATTAATTGACTAATGAGTTTGTTGATTATTTTTTACTAATTGAATGCACTTTGAGTTGCAAGAGAAGGATTTTTCAATCGGCTCACGACAGAGGGAGGAATGGGGGGGCCCTTGAACATTGTGGAAACCAGTCTCGGATCGAGTCTCGGACGAGAGTAGCGATACGAGAGTGGTTTAGTAATTAACAAATGAGTTTGTTAATTATTTTTGATTAATTGGAGGTTCCTTAGGTAGTAAGATAATGATTTTTCAATCGGCTATCGATAGAGGAAGGAATGGGGGTCGCTTGAACCTTGCGGAAACCAGTCTCGGATCGAATCTCGGACGAGAGTAG